GACATTGATTAAACATATAACCTGAGCCACCGCCGGGGGCTCAGGTTGGATCCACCTGAGCATAGGGGATCCAAGTTTCAATTTTATCCTTTTAAACTGAATCACAGAATGCAACTGTAATTCAGTTTAGTCTAATATTACGTCATGGAGTCGTGATGGCTCAGGGGATAGAGCGTTTGCCTTCCAATGAGGCGACGAATTTGAATCCCCAGCGATGACTGGTAGATACGAATTCCGTATCCGGCTTGCACCGAACACAGTACTGACGTTAGATATCCTCAGTGGTAGACGGATCATGGGTTAGAGCCCCCTTGGCGTCGTGCTAACCGTGGAAAGTTTTCCTCTCCATGTAACGCAAATGCGGCTAAGTTCCATCATCAAAAAGTTCTCCAGGAAGGCAAATTTCCCCCAATACTTGATTCAGGAGTTCCCTTGTCTTCTGAATTGGGTCCAAAATTGCAAGGGTACGGAGTTGAACTTTGGTAGTCGTAAACCCAAAAAATTGGGTCTACTGTTCAACCACGATTATAAAATAAAATATTACATCACGTGACTATTTCCTACATTTCGAGACCCATCATTCAATTTATGATCAATTAGATTAAAAGTTATTAAATATGATTAGCTACCCCCCCCCCTCGCCTGTTAAGTCCACTGAAAACAATTTTTTATTGGAGTAAATTTAGCTTACAGTTTTTCCAGACTGTTGAAACATCATTTATTCCTATTGAAAGGTTTCTTTCAAAACTTTTAAGGACAAAAAGGGTTTGTTTCCTAGTAATTAAATTTTGCATTAATTCGCTCGTTAGATTAAAATAAAAAGTGATATGATACATAATTTTTGAATGATGATTTTTTTTTAAATTCTAACTTTTTTATTTCTTGCTTTCGCGTACGAACTATGGCCTCAAATTTGAAAATATATTTTAATGTCGTGAATTGCCAGATGAAAAGGCTTTATGTTCGCAGATGGAAAATAAAATTAAAAATAAATCGCTTTAGTGTATTTGCATTTGGCAGGCGTTCATGTCATTTTTGTTTTACGACCTTTTCTGTTGAATGTGACGTCACATATAAAATGAATAATTTTGAGTTGTTTATTGACTTTATCATTTCATCTTTCAAAATGAAACTCTTTCAGCAAAACACTTAGTCGAGGATTAAGACTTTTTTTATATATTTATTTGTGAGATCTTTTTTTATAATTTCAATATTTTACTTTTGTTGAGGTTTGCGTACAGTATTGCCATATTACATATTTGTTTCTTTTTTTTTTTACAAAATATTTAAAAAATGCTAAATTTATCGAGAATACGTTATAGGCGTTGAATACGCTAAAACGGCGGTTCCCAAAGTTATTCAGGGGAACCCTGGGGTTCCGTGGAAAGTTCCCTTCTTTCCTGGAGTTAGAATTTCCAGTAGTTAGGAAAACCAGTATGGTCTGGAGAAATGGCGGGACTATGGTTACGAAGTTTAACTATTTGAAAAATAGAGCCGTCAGGTCAATAATTAAAGCAGGTTTTAGTTCAGATCGGCGAAAGAAAAAGAATCAGAGGAGAGAGAAGCTCCCAACTTTTAAATGCACTATTTCTTGTTTCCAATAGCAGTAGATGACCTTAGACTTCGTAGTGAGGGGAGTTTTATCTGTAGACAAATTATAAAGATTTTTGACATCTGCAATTACGTTTATACCAAATGAATAATCCTTAATTTTTAAATATTGCAGTTATTTATAGGAAATTATTTGAGTAAAATTTGAAATATAATTTTGTAATTTATTTACTAACAATATATTGAATAAATTATGAAAAAGATATGCATATATAGAAATATTTCATCAGTATTTCTCATCGAAATTTTCAATTCCAAATAAAATAAATCAATTCAAGAAAAAATAAATACATTTCCCTGAAAACACTGGGGAACAAATTTTTTGTTGTATTTATACAAATAATTGATATTACTTAATTCGGTTTAGGGGATTTCAAATCTGAAATTAATTTCGTGCCTGAAGCTGCAGATATTTTTTCAAAATGACATTTTTTGTTTATTTTTGTCAAAATATACAAGTTTAAAAACGTATAAATCTTGCGACAAACTTCCAGGGGAATTAGGTATCAACAGGATTAAAATAGAATAGGAACACATGCCTGGAAACGTCGTCGAACGCGGCTAAGGGCACTTTCCTGTTATGACCTGTTCAAAAGAATACGAAGAAGCAGCTCATAATAGGGGAAGCACCCCTAGCGGAGTATGGTGACAACATTTCCGGGTAAGGTTTCCGATGACATTAAAAAGAGGATGCCATTAAAAAAAATGTCATTAAAAAGAAAACTATAACTTTAAAAAAAACCCGATTGCAAATTTGAATTCTGCGATACGAAAGTATCTAAGATTTCTTACGCGATCTCATGCAGCAAAAAAAATTCCCCTTGTGTAATCATTTCTAGCGTTTATAACTTTTCTTTTTTGAAACCATAATTCAGCTTGTTATAATTCATTCCCAACTTATGCGGCATCACCAAAAACAAATTCGGATGCCACCCCAAACCTGCGAGTTTAACTGTCTAACCTAAAACCTAATTTTAAAACTATTATTGATAAAACGATAAAAAATCCTCACATTCTTTACTTTAAATATTTCTAAAATATTGAATTTTTTTTTTTGCTAGTATATTTACTGCTGATAATGAACGTTCTTTATAAAGTTGGGGTTCCACCAAAAAAAGCTAGATCATTTATAAATCCATAGCCGCAAAAACCTCTGGGCATAAAACGTGATTAGAAATAATGAATCAGTACCAGGAATGTGATCAAACAATAATCATCAAACAGCAGCATTTAACCAGTTAACAGTAATAACTTTTGATGAAACGTTGAAGCTAGAGTTAACTACACAAATCGTTATAATTCTTCGAAATTATTGAAAGTGCAAAAACATTGCAAACGATTTTGAAATTACAACACAACAATCTTAAAAAAAAAAAGGTTCGTTTGAATCATTGGACGCATTCATGTCTAAGAAAAGGGAGACACAATTAAGGCATTTAGATTTGGAAAAAAAAATGTGCCGAAAATTTTAATGAGATGCATGTAATATAATTAACTGCTACATAAATTTTATAATAATGAGCTACGTAAACTCGTTACATTTTCATTCTTATTTACACATAACATAAAAGCGATACAAGAACGGAAGAAATTAAATGTGCCAAAAATTGTATTACAAATTAATTGTAATGGTTGTATGTAATATAATTAATAACTATATAAATTTCATAATAATTAGCTACGTAAAATCGTCAAATCTTCATTTCAATAATCTTCGTTCTCATTTTACGCATAACGCAAAAGTGATACAAGAACTGACGGATTTAGAGTTGAAAAAAATTGCCAAAAATTGTATCGCAAATCAATTTCTATAAGCTGTAAGTAATATAATTAACAACTATATAAATTTTACAGCTACGTAAAATAGTCGAATCTTCATTTTTATTTTATATGTAACATAAAAGAAAAACAAGAACTGAACGAACTAGACTTGAAAAATAGTGTCCAAAATTGTATCAAAAATCAATTTTAATCAGCCATGTGTAATATAATTAATAACTATATAAATTCAACGATAATGAGATAAATAAACTCCTCAAATCTTCAGTCAAATAATTTGATTATCCAATTGTAGGTGTTTCGAATTCGGATATTAAAATAGAACTTCATCTTATATGAAAGTCTGAATGAAAAAGTTTTCCTTCCGCAGATTATTCAAACGCGAGGGTCAGTGAGTTCAAGGAGAAATAGTTTTTTCTTTATTTACGAGGTTTAATTTTCTGGCTGCATTTTTATACTGGCTTGTATTAAATACGATGAGCTTATAAAATTATCTTTACCATTAAGGGCTAAGAAGTATCTCGTCTTATCATTAGTTTAACAAAATAAATAGTCGTTATCTAGAATAAAAGTTACAAAATGCTTAATTTGCGGACATAAAGCAGACAGTTTTAAAAGTTAAAAAAAAAAAAGTTAGGAATAATATTTATAAAAGCATGTCGTTTTTACAAAGAGATTTAATTTAACAAAATTGTAAACAATTTTATACGAAATAAATTGAGGATAATAACGAAACTTACCGTATTTAACACACGCAATAAATTTTTAAGAGTTAGTTACAGTATTGTTAACATTGGAATTTAGATTAATCTTAGCGATGGGCCAATGGCAACTGTGTGGTTAAAAATATCACCAGTAATAAATAGATCTGGGATTGGAGTTCAGTTGTTATCGGGCTGGTAGTTAGAGGTTTTCATCTCATCTATCAATCACAATTTTCCGATCTGAAATTTCGTTCCAAGATCACCTAACAGAAGCCAATTATATATATTTCAACATAATTAATTGAAATTAGTATTGCTGTTTGGGTTTTCCTTTTAAAATGTATATGAATTGGAAATGTTTAGTACCGGAATTAATCTATCTTAAACTACCGATTTAGCGTTGGTAGAGGACGATTCACACTATAGTACTAGTATTTGAGATAATATTAAACTAAAGTTCAATTGAAAATATATTTTAAATGCTGACTGTTAACTCTACTTACACTTTTAAAAAAATAGTTATTATACCAGCTAACACTAACCGTAAAAGCAATATTCCAAAATAACAGCAATAGAAAATGGTTGATTATCTACTTGTTAAGCAGGATCAACCGAATCAGTTTGAAGAAATATTCAGCATTACTCTATAGAAAGAAAAGTATATAATTCACAATAGCGGTGGGGAAAAAAGACACGAAGTGAAAAAAAAAACAATTAAAAAATAATTACGTAGCAGGGCTGTTTTGATGCTATAACCGAGCATTATTTTCCACAACGGAGGCACAAACAATATTTTAAAAATATGGTTATGTAATTAAATGATTATCATTTTTTTTCAAGTGGTGAATAAACAGAAACTATGCTTGCAAGAATATAGCCTAACAACCGCCTTCTTTATCTTTCTAGAATTATCACAGACATTCAACTTTGCGGGTGGTGATCATCCCCATTGGTTAGCTTACAACGCTCACTATTCACCCTATTTCACAACAGCAGCTTTCAGAGGTGCAGGCTTTACAGGGTATGCTTTCGACAGCGCATTTAGTGCAACAGGCTCTTCTAATCAAGAGGCACATTTGACATCGATCGCTGGTAAGCCTTTTCTATTGGTTAAAAAAAAGAGCGATGCTCAACAAAAATAATTTTGCATGATTTCATGTCATAGTACACATCTTTATAGGATGCTTTGCTTTTCAGATGGTGCCTCTCCAGAGTCGTCTCTAAGCAACGGCAATGGTCAACTACATTCAGCATCAGCATTCACTTTCAAATCCATGCTGGACAATTTCACCCAGTCGAAAAGCGAGCTCTCATTGGTGCGTCCGACTAACACCAATCTCTCTTCCGCAGCGTCATCGGCGGCTTCCGAATCCGATCACTCCCCAATGGACCCTGGCAGCAAAACACCGGTTCCAAACACGTCACTGCAGATACCAAAGACAAACATCCCTCTGCTAGCGGGTGCTTCTTCGACAGCCCTGTCGGTGAACCATGCAAGTTACCTGCTGGCATCCCAAAGCTATTACGGTGGTAACGGTGCTACCACAAGTGCCAGCATGTACTTGGGAACAGGCATGATGCCACCATCGCTTCTTTATCCCCAACTGTACCAACAGAGCCACCTCCATCCATCCATCCACTTACTTGGGAATGATTCCAGGAACTCTTACGACGCGGCGGCCCTCTCAGCTCAACAGGAGGAGGTGAGACAGTTGAGCAGCTCAGAGTCTTTGAATAAAGAACTCCAGTCACCGTCAGAGGATCCTAGATCGGATAACAGTAGCACTAACGGGCATACGACTTTAGTTTCTTCGCGTGATAGACTAAATGATTTGCGAATGACGAGTTTACCATCCACAAGGACAGCACAGAGTGAGATAGCAACGGTTTGGAGGCCTTATTGATGATTTAGCTTTTTAAGAGAAAAATATAAACCGGTGAAAGATTATGATATACATACATGTATAGTAATTTATTGTTCCAGCATTTAATTTAAATGCACTTCTATAAAGTAACTCAAAGAGTTAATACTGTTTCAGTAAAATATATATATATATTGTACAATATAGATAATTTATTTAAGGACTTGAAGAAAAGTCTTATTCTTTTTTTTGAAAATTTTTTTTTTATTTCAGGACTTTATTAGCAGATATGGCTTTGCTTTGAAATCATTCAATACACTTACGTTGAGGAAAATATGAATTGAAAGTAAACACTTATAATCATTTTTAATTTTCAAGACCTTCATGCTTTTGAAAAATATTTGAAGTTTACAAATTATTTAACCCCATAATGGTTGCATAATTTTGAAAAAAAAAACGGACTAAGTATTTATAAGTGAGACAGTATTAATATATATATATANAATATTAGTATACTTAAAAAAATTGACATGTGCCCCTTCAAAAATATTTTACACAATTTTTGCTAATTTTAAAGACAATACAATTTTTAAGTGGTATTAATGTTGAAGGTCCATAATATAGCAAATTTTGATTAAAATACCAAAAATTGAAAGTTTTTCATAATATTTATTGTAAAATAAAAATATTGCTATTTTCTTTAAAAAAAAATATGAATAACAAAAACAGCAACAGCTTGAGGAAACTTATTTTGATTAACTGACAAAAAAAAAAAAAAAAAAAAAAAAAAAAAAATTTTAATCAAGTTATACCTCATATAAAATTTTCTAAAGAAAATAATTTTTTTTTTGCTGAAGTACACACATTTAAAAAAAAAAAACTAAAAGTTTATAAATTACAAAGATAAAAAGTTCTTCATTCATCTCATATTTGTAACATTTATTTTGTCAACTAAAAATGTGCAATTGTTGAAAAAAAACCAAAGATTTTTATTTCTTCTGTATATATGTAATGTACTATAAAGAAATATTTGCACCTGTAAATTACATAATTTAGAAATGTATTATTCATCTTGTATTCTTAATTAAAGATTTTAACTGTACTAGTGAAACTTCATTTTTCATATCAAACAGAAGCAACATTAAAATATATATTTATTATATTTTAATACAATCATAACAAACATAATTACAAAGAATTTTGATAAAAAAATGACTAGAAATATAGGATTTCTAGGATACGCCAAGTAAGCTTAAAACATATAAACAAGAGAGTGGGGTAAAATAAAACAAGGGTAATAGAGAATATTTTTTGTTTAAAATATATTCCTATACAGATGATTCCAAACAATATTGTAGTTTGAAATCTTATTTTACAGACAGATTATTTTAACTTTTAAAGCTCTTTACTCAAAATGTAGAAAAACATAACATTCAGGTTTCCTACAAGAAAGTTAGGATAAGTTTTAAAAACTCAAACAACTTTTAATTACTCAATAATTTAATATTTAAAAACTACATAAAATTGAAAAGAGAATTTAAAATGGAAAAATTAGTTGACTAGCATGATATAGTGTTTCTTATGTTATATATTTACAATTAGCACATTTTTTATGGTTTTAGAACAACATAAAATAAATCAAGATATTTTCTAGAATAACAAAACAGTAACTCAACACAAAACACTGTATTTATTAAATTTAAAAAAATCGAAGCAAAGCAGATAATACAAAAAACATATGGCCATTTGGAAAAAAATTGAATATTTTAATAAATATTCACAAAGTAGGTTTACAAATCAAAGAATTTATAGAAAAATATCCCTGAAAATTAAGATCTTGATTCATCTGCATTGTTTAATAACAATAAAGTGACAAAAAACAAAATTTTGTTACAATTTTACAGTAGAAAAAAACAAAAATTAATCTCACTTATTTGCAAAACATAAATACTTTTCAAAAAATACAATATTAACTGAAGCATTTCAGTCAAATCCTGTGTATAAATAAAAATTACACAAAAAATAAATGCATTAATGTTTATCATCTAAAAAATGTTTTTAGCCTGAAGTCTTTCCTTTTAAAATTCATAATAAAAAAAATAAATGGATATTAAAAAAAAACATAACTTTAATAGCGTAATAAATACTAGACATTTTTACATGGATTAACTACAACTGTTTAAACTATTAATTGCATTTTCTTGAATTTAAAAGCATTTCAATTTTTCTAAAAAAATTTGGAGAAATAATTAAAAAAATTAATAAACTGTTATTCTGGAAAATTTTAGATTTAATTTAAATTACATAATTTGTTTAAAAATTCTTTAGGATGGTAGAAAAATCTATTACAAACAAATATGAATAAAATAAACTTTTATGATAACAAGATTTGAACATATTTTATTTAACAGATTTTAACATATTAAGATTGCAACATATTTTAAGCAAACAAAAACCTATAAAAATAGTAATATCTACAGACATCTTAGAGATATCGATTTCTCGTCTGATAAATAAATTAAAACTAAAATCTATAGCAGGGCGCGTAGCCAAATTATTCAACAAAAAATAAGCACCTTTTAAGCACTAAAATAATATTTTTTACAATTAAAAAATATATCATAATTAGGCAGGGTTGGAAAGTTTTTGACAATTGACGGTTTTATATGGTTTTAACCATCATGTCAAAAAAAAAAAAAAAGCTTTTGGCATTGTTTTTGACAATTGTCAAAATTTTTTAATCATGTAAATCGAATGGTGTTTTCATACGCTACGGACTGACGATGCCCCGAAATAGATTGGGGTTGAATTAATTGTGAAAACGTTGAATAGAACAATGTGAAGGGTCTTTCTGTATAATTCGTAGCGAAAATCAACAGGGTAAAGGAAACATCTCGTTTTGTAAAAGGGAAAATTAAGCACCTTTAAGGGCTTTTAAAAAACGAAAATCGAAAATAAGCACCTTTAAGCACTTTTTAAAAGCGCTACGCACCCTGTATAGTACTCGATACTCTCAGAGTTGAAGAGTAAAAAATCTAAATTGAAATTAAATATTTTAAAAACAAAAGAAATTCCTCTTAATGACCTCGGTTCACATATGTGGACATTCCCTTCTAAAAACACGCTTTAAGAAAATTTGTAGCTTTATCCTCACTGAAACACAGAACATGTAAGTTATTTGGGTAGAATTCCACACAAATAGAAGTGATTTTCGAAAAATGTAGTTAAATCCACATGCTCGAAAACGTGAGTAGTTATAAACATTATATAATTTAGTAATTCCAAAAATATATATTCTTTTTTACTAAGTACCCCTGTGATCTGTATGCACGAAGCTTTTAAATTTATACTTACTTATAATATTTAAAAATAATAAAGTCAAGAATATGCAGGTCCACGTATCTGTATCACGGTACTTACGGCGAAATTTATAACAGCATAGTAGTCAAGTGAAATCTCATATTATGAATATTTAATTTGATGTATATTTAGTAATATTTTTAAGTGTATCACGAAACTTTCTACGTTATTGACGAAACCATTTCTTCGTACATTCTCTGATCGAGCATTTTGTCAAAGCAACGAAACAACAATCGTCACTTCGAGGAACCGAATTTCGTCAAAAGTAAGGAAACATTACGTCATTCTAGTTTCGATTGTCTAGTTTTCATTTTAGTCAACAATTCATTGTTTTATATTAAGGTGCATACACACATTTAATAACTTAAACTTTTAGTGCTTTTTTCCGTTATTTTGAAATACTACCCCCCAAGACTTAAATATTTTCTAAAATTAATGTTATATTTTTTCGATAATTATTTATTTTGCATGGCTTGCATAATTAAATTAGCTTTGAAACTGATATTTAAAGCAGTATTGCATTGTACTTAAACAAAAATTCATATTTTTAATTTTTTTTTTCTGTTCAATTATTAAATCTACGCATCGTCAATTCATATAAGAGTATGCATGCTTGTTCCTAATTAAAGTGCAATTTAACATTCGAAATAATTATATTCTAACGGTCCACGTATGTGTATTTAAAATTATTTGCCCCCTAGCAGTATAATTCAATCTTATTATAACAGTCAAATAGAAGAATCGGAGCTGTAAAATATTATTTCGCCATATTCCTTTATACTTCAGTAGCGAAGAGGTTAAAGAAATATATTTCTAATTAAATAATTAATTTGTAGAGTATTTTTGCGTAATTTATTCAAAAGTCTTTCTTTACACCCCGCACTGAGAAGTACCAAAACAGTAACTAAACATTATAAATGCAAAATAAAAAATACATAAAAAATGGCGAAATTTCACTGACAAAGTGCATATGAATAGATAAACACTGAACACATATTGGATAAGCAACAAATGTAAACCAGATATTGAATTCACAACAGGACGATCCAAAAATTAAACAGCGCTGTTTGGACCCTTGTTCATTTAACACAGATGACCAAATCAAATTGTTTGTATGTGAGATCATAATGAAAGTAGTGTAGAAACAGGGTTGCCACTCAAATTTGAAAAAAAAAATTCCCCGTGCTTTCCCTGTACATATTATACATAATATATATGTATTATAACCATCGTTGAACAGCTGACCCAATTTTTAGGTTTGCGACTACTAATATTCAACTCCGTAGCCTTGTAATTTTGAACCCTATCCAGAAGACAAGGGAACTCCTGGATCAAATATTGGGTGAAATTTGCCTTCGTGAAGGACTTTTTGATGGAACTAACTCGCATTTGCGTTACATGGAGAGGAAAACCACGAGAACGTCCCACGATTAGCCTCACGGCAAAGGGGACTCTAACTCATGATCCGTCTACCATTGAGGATATTTCACGTCAGCACTGTGGTTGGTGCAAGCCGGATGCAGAATTTGTATTGACAAGCCATCGTCGGGATCGAAACCCGGTTCACCTCGTTGGAAGGCAAACGCTCTATCCCCTGAGCCATTTAGGCTCTATACACAATATATTAAGAGAAAACACAAGATCACAGTGCTCTCGTGTGAGCTACATTGGGCTAACTATACTAGTTGTAATTGGTGGGGGGAAAAGAGCAGCCGAACATACTTAAATAATGCTATAGCAAATAAAATAGTTTAGTATAGTTGAAATATCATCCTTTAAATATCCCATAGATTACGCTTTGAGTGGTCACCATTTTTTATAAGACGAAAATAGAGAAACAAAATTCCCTGGATTTTCCCAGTTTGTAGAGAAAAAAAAAAATAGAATTTTCTCTTATTTCAGGGGATTTTAAAACTTCCCGTATTTTCCAGGTTTTCCCTATTCTCCCTGTGGAGTGGCAACCCTGATAAAAATATTAGTAAAAATATTAAATTAAAAAGAAAATGCGCACCATAAAATTAAAAAGAAAAAAAATATTTTATAATGTAAAACAAACGCGATTTTGGTCGGTGTAAAATTATGGACCTATTGCAAGACAACATGCAAGGTGCAAGAAGAA